TTTTTGAAAATTACCCTTCATGCAGTGTGTAACACGGCTCTAAAGTGAATGAAAATATCCTGCAAAATTTCAAATCTGAAAGTGCACCGTGTATAAAGTTATTGTCTCTCAAAAGAAAGAATCGACTCTGAATCACTGAAACGAGTCGTTTTTAAAACGAATTCCAGGCCGTTTCATGTTGATGTCAACATGAAACATTAGCATATTGCCCGCCCTCTTGTTGGTCTTTCGGGTTGGTCTGAATGAAAATGCAAATTCATTCTTGGCCACTAGGTGCCGTTGTTGGAGCGGTAAAAAAAATAGCTGTTTCACCGGTAACGGCTGTAAACAAAGCAGCACTGCGCTCACAAACGCTGCTTTATCAGGCATCACAGGCAAGATGAAATGAAAATGAGACCAATCGGACCAATCACCGCAGATTAACATCACGCAAAGGAGGGGTTTGGAAAAACGAATCGTTTGGGAGTCGTTGAGCAAGTAAGATAAAAATAAATGCATATTATAAGACAATGAAAGTGTTTTTTGACCTTGCATGCATGTCAACCTGTTGTTGGGGACTCCCAAAACCAAAATATGAACCTTTCATTACCCATAATAGGGGCACTTTAATATATACTAGATTACTTGCAGCTACTTCTGTATTCATTTGATTATAAATGTAGCAGCCATATTGCTTAAATATACTTTTCAACATTTTTACAATTTACAGCATTTACTACATTTCCACAATTTACCCCCTTGGGTTAAGAGACCCTCTGGCGCACATTTACAGCATGTAGAAACTGTTCTAATGTATTTGTTTTGGCTTGTGAGATATTATTTAGCTCTGTTTACAGGATACAAAAGAGGAACAGAGATGCCTTGGTCTGGAAACTTGAAGGCAGCAATAAGGTTGCCGACGTTCCTAAAGAGCCTTTCCTTCATCCCAGGAGCCACCTGGAGAGAGAGAGAAAAGAATTTCTCAAAAACATTCTTCCTGAGCTCTAAAAAAAAAAAGGAACGATATGCCTTAACTTTTAAATGTACAATTTAATAGTGATTATAATGATGGTGTAAAATGTACACGCTTGTGGTGCTTCCATTTCCGTTGAGTCAGTGTAATTTTTTCTTTTTATATATATATATATATATATATATCTATCTGTGTGGTATTTTGCTCGTGTGGCTGGTGGCTGATGCTGATCAGTTACAGGAAGCACAATGAAGGCAGATAAAACGGAAGAAAATGTAAAGCTTATCCACAAGCAATACCCGTTTAAAACGGTTTAAAGAAGCCATTCTAATGTTATAAGAAACTTGGATCATTAATTAGTGTGGATGATTGGATTTCAGTCTAAACTGTTTTGGGTTATGAACCAAAATGCAAATGTTTCTCAGCATCTCGGGTGGGGTGTTAACACGTTGCACAGCTTGCCATTTCCTTGGTGCGTACGAAACGAGATGTGGGTGATGCTGAAACATAACAGATGTACATGGCGATTCTCTGGCTGTTAATTTGTGGGGTGTGAGGCTACAAATACATGCAACACACTGACCACAAAGAGAAAAAATATGCTGTGCACTGCTATATAGTTTAGAGCTGCTCTTCTTGTTTTAAAAGTATCAGTGTCATTAATGTACTACCAGAAGTAGTCACAGGAAACATATTGTACTGTATTCCAAATATCAACACACAAAACATATGCTAAGACAGAAATTCAGGTTTCAAGTACAAAGGTCCAAAAATCTATTCGTACCGCTATTGTCCAGAGGGCATCCTTTTGTTTGAAAACTCTGTAGGTGTAAACCCATCCATCACACCTGAAGATTTACACACAGTCATAATGTTATTTGCAGCACAATATTTAAACTTGGAGTCACCCCGTTTTGCAGTTGAATGTGTGTCCCAGCCTGGGGTCTCCAAACTCAGTATCCTGCAGATTTGAGCTCCAACTTGCTTCAACACACCTGCCAGGAAGTTTCAAGTAGACCTTGATAAGCTGATTCAGGTGTGTTTAATTAGAGTTGGAGCTAAACTCTGCTGGACAGTGGCCCTCCAGGACCGAGTTTGGACACCCCTGACTAAAGTAAAACTATTTGAGATACCTGCTTTATTTTGAGATTTTAGGGGTTTGTTCTGTAACGGCATCTGATATTAATTGTATATGTGCAGATCGTGAAACAGGCTTTAAAAAGTTTTACATTTGATTTTAAAAACACTGCAGAACAACTGATTATCTTCAATTCAATATGCATAATTCAGATTGGTCTCAATTGGTCTCGCTGAACTCAGTTGACCATGACAACAATGTATATCACGGCACTACTTTCATATGTCTGTACAATCACAACAACACAAATCTACTCAACTACTCTTGTTTCATACAAATGCAAATTACTCCAACTTGAGTCTCAGTTATTGTAGTGTAAAAGTAACCTCAGTGCATCAATTTTACTGTATTTTTGTAGTAGAGTTCCTCTTGTTGTTTTATTTTGTCTTAGCAGAAGCTTTTAGGAAAGATACATGTAAGATTATTTTATATATAACAATATTTTATGTCCATATGTATTGATTTGATGAGTAGCTGTGTAATAGAGGGAATATAGCTCATATATCTCAAACCGTCTTCACCCTGAAGGGGTAGCCTACATTTTTGCAATAATGAACACATTATCAATTGCATCCCATATAACATTATCAGTAATGGTAATCACAGCATGTGAACTACTTTTTTTTTTTTTTTTATGCAATTTACTCATTCATTCAGTTAAAGTTACTTGAATATGTACCTACCAAAGTGGCACAAATGGTAGGCTATAGTGGTTTTCAGAAGTGGCAAACCAACACGGATGACACAAGCCATGTTTATCCTCGTTGCAGATGAGTTGTGTGTTCCCTGTCACAAACTGCAAACTAGTATTGATATTTTTTACCATATGGCAGAAATAGTAATTTTTCCCCCGAGCATGCACGCGATCTGTCCATGAAGTTGGCACACTAGAATTTGATCGGACACACAAACTTTTATATCAAAATCGGAAATCATTTTATCCCTCAATGTTGTCTAATCATGCACAATTATAAAGTCAGTTGCATTGTATTATTTGTATTTAGCATTGTTTTTCCCCGCTATACCACAATCAGACCAGACAGTAACACATTTTTGGTCACAATAACCCACCAGATGAGAACCACGGCACTGTGTTACAGATTGCTATACATCAGAGAGCACAGATGCAGTAATGTTACTCACAGCACACACACGCAGTAAGATCCCGCTGCGCTCGCGCTGTCTCTGATCAGATAGCTGCCATCTCTGCCCGCTTCATTCAGGATCTCTTCTGCTTGCCTCCTGCTGATGCGCCCGTGATACTCTGCCAGATCCTCCATTCTGTCTCGCAATTACACACACATACACAGACACCATAAGAGGTGACCTAGCTGTAAAGGAAGTCGAGAGAAGCTTTGAGTGAATGTAACTGATCTAGGATCAGCTGCAGATGTCTTTTGAATGTTATGCTGTTCGTATAGTAAAAAATTATTAATATAAACGAAACACTTTAAATGTCGGCAATATTTCATTTGTTATCAGTTCGAGAGATTTCCTTAAAGAACAGTTTTATAACTCCTGATACTTTATAAGGATTTTTCTACATATAGATGAATTAGTTTATCTGCATTAAAGGGGTCATATGATGCGATTTCAATCTTTGGAGTGTTGCAAGCTCTTGGTGCATAAAGAAGATCTGTAAAGTTGCAAAGACTAAAGTCTCAAATCCAAAGAGATATTCTTTATAAAAGTTAAGAGTCAGCCACGCCCCCCTAAAACGGCTCGATCTAACACGCCCCCACATATCTACATCACTGTGTGGCAATATTAGCATAATGCACCCAAATGTGCACACAAAGAAAGAAGGCGCCGCAGCGGTGACGACCCGACCAGCCTACAATAGTCCAAATATAAGTACTTATTACAAGTGTACCGTAGTGATTAGGAATCAGTGTTGGGGTAATATATTACAAGTAACGCAAGTTACGTAATCAGATTACTTTTTTCAAGTAACTAGTAAAGTAACTTTTACAATTTACAAGATAATATCAGTTACTTTTTCAAATAAGTAACGCAAGTTACTTTTTTTTCTTTCTTTTTTTTTGATTTATTGATTTATTGATTGAGTGTGTGTGTGTGTGCGCGTGCGTTTTTGTGACAAATGAGGACATAAATTTGTATAATGACAAAGGTATGACATAGGTATTACAAGGAGAAGGTGACTTTTCAGGTCATTACCCCATGTCCCCACTTTTCAAAACGCTTATAAATCACACAGAATGGAGTGTATTGAAAATCTGAAATAGCACAAAGTCTCCTGTAAGGGGTAGGTTTAGGGGTAGGGTTGGTAAAGGGCAATAGAAAATACAGTCTGTACAGTAGAAAAACCATTACGCCTATGGGATGTCCCCACTTTTCACAAATGTAAACCTGTGTGTGTGTGTGTGTGTGTGTGTGTGTGTGTTATAGCTGTTATAGAAGAAAAAAAAAGACATTATTGGCCAAGAAAATAAATATGGCAAATATTTTAGGATGAATATGACCATTTTGAGTTTCAAAATTTCTTCTAATATATGGATTGCAGAAAGTACTTACAATAGCTCTGAAACACGTGAAACAGCATGTACATCACAGTTACCCGTTTCTGTGATAAACACTCAGAGATCCTCGCCTCTACAGAACACTCCTCGCCTCTACTGTGATAAAGAGATCCTCGCCTCTACAGAACCTAGATGTCAGGGCTATTCTTACTTCTCTCATTGCTGTCTGACTGATCCCTATCCTTACAGTCCACTCTCACATCTAACCCTCGCCACTGGTGACTGTGGAGAGTCAGAACTCAAGAAGACACAAGAAAGAATGTAAATCAGTTGTTAAATGAAAATAATCCAACTTTTTAAGGGCATGATTCATTATTTAATATTTATAAATAAATGAGCATTTATTAAGCTGTTTTTAGTTTGTGGAAGTTTAAAAATATACATTAGGTACAGTGTAAATTCACTTATCTTCTTCATGATGACATGCCTTATTTAATGTATGTAATTTTGGTGTTAAAAAAATCTGGGGGAAAAAAATATATATATATTGACTGCAATAAGTTTCATGAAATTAAGAAAAGGCATTAAGCATCAACCTGACATTTAAATGCTAGGTAGCTATTAAAAAGGGTTTGGTTTGTCTCTGTCCAACAACTGAGCGTGAGGGTTGAGTCTTAAGACCCTGACTAAGTCCATTCTGGTCTCGCTCATCTCCAATTGAGAGAACCTTTTCTGTAAGCCCCGATCAACATTTGTTGAAGCTCCTGCATATTGTTCACTTTCATTTCTAAAAAAGATAATAATAAGAATGTGTTTTGATTATTGCCATACATAACAGATATTCATGTATCAGAAAGAATAGACAGTTTCTTGGGTCTAACCTTTCATTACACATTAATTACACTCACCTGACATTAGAGCAGATTCATCCATTTTGTTTGTCTCCTCTTCAGTCCATATTTTGTCTATCTTTAAATGGAAGAAAATAGTCTGACTGAAGTTATACAAACTAGATATGAAAACATGGTAAATGATTTCTTTAACATAAATAATACTTTAAATACATTTCATTCTACTGTATGAATTAAAATGTTCATTCTACTGTTTTTTAAACTGACTTTTCAGAAGAAGTTTATATGGTCTTAACACACTAAATGCTGGTTATGTGTGTCAAGTTTACCGTGTAAATGACCTGACATCCCTGACATATCTGGTAATATTTAGATCAGGCAGCATAAATACATTTCAGTCAATCCACTTTTGAAGGTGCAGTGTGGTCATTTTAAACGAGTTAACCTGTAGGCTTTCTTACCTCAAACAGCATTAGCTGAATAGACTGGCCTTGAGATGTTGGTGACTGACTCACAGGTTGGACTTCAGGTTTTATCCTCACTAAGAAGATGATATTTCAAGCGTGAATAGGTTTGTGTGAAATCTGTGCTCTTAGATACCCAAGTTATCCACTTAGATAACTACATAACACACTAATTAACTTAAAGGGGTCATATGATGTTGCTAAAATTGTGTATTTGGTGTAATGCAATGTGTTTATGCGGTTTAAGGTAAAAAAAAAGTATTGCGCCGCGTAAACATAAAACCATATCTGCATTTGAGATCGAAGAAACAACAAGTGCTACTCTACACTGCTCAAAACTCGCGTTTGAATCATCAGTGGCAAATCCTTTAAATATGAAAACGTACTTGCAGTCTGTGAGTCAGAATCTAGGCTGTCCTTGCAAAGTTGGAATTGCCCCACTTTATAGAAACACAGACGGCATTATAGGCTACTCTCCCAGGAAACAGTCCTCCATAAAATGCGCTGCACACACTCTAATATTTGGGTTGCACTGTTCTGGAACAGTGTTGTAAATACAAAATAACCACTAGATTTAGTTGTGTCCTCTTTTGGAAGACCAAACAAAGTAATTTCGCTTTCACAACGAAACACACAGCGTCTTTACGATATGGCGGCGGCGGCAGCAACAATACTACAGCGAGAATAAAAGTGAAACCTTCTTTCTTTGCGTGAACATTTGGGCGGCGTTATGCAAATCTTCCCACACAGTGACGTAGACATGTGGGGCGTGTTAGAACGAGGCGTTTTTTTATTTTATAAAGAATATTTCTTTGGGTTTGAGACTTTAGTCACAACGAAACACACAGCGTCTTTACGATATGGCGGCGGCGGCAGCAACAATACTACAGCGAGAATAAAAGTGAAACCTTCTTTCTTTGCGTGAACATTTGGGCGGCGTTATGCAAATCTTCCCACACAGTGACGTAGATATGTGGGGCATGTTAGAACGAGGCGTTTTTTTATTTTATAAAGAATATCTCTTTGGGTTTGAGACTTTAGTCTTTGCAACTTCAGGGAACTTATCTATTCACGAACAGCTTGTAACACTCCAAAGAGAAAGGACAACTTGAAATCGCATCATATGACCCATTTAAGATTTGGCTTCTACAAGTGCCATTACTATAAATTACTACAGCTTAAAATGCATCCCATCTTTATGGTGAAAAACATGGCTTCAGTTTATTGCATTCTGACAAAAGATTGTTGGGCTGATGTAGTATGGACTTGCAGAATACTCACCTCCTACTGTAATCTGTTTTGTTGTGTCTCTACTGATAACCTGACAATAGTAATCGCCAACATCTGAGACACTGAAGTTACTTAGATTTAAGGACACATTTCCTCTTTCCAGTACGTGAGTGGCGAGACTCGCTCTGTCTTTGTAGCTCCTCCCCTCAATCACGCATCCATTCTTGTAGATGCAAACACAGTCTGTCTCCTTAAACCATTTGATCTGCATGGCAATGGCACAGACTTCAGGAGACAAGTGACAAGGAACAATGATTTCAGACCCCAAAGAAATCTGTGCTTCTTGGGCTGTTTGAGGAATAACAAGCTGAAAATTATCTGTGAGGAAAAGAGAGAAAGATGGACTTACATGCATTAATACTTTCACCTTTACCTACACAAACAGTGGTAGAACAAAAATATTGGAATGAGTAAAACTGATGAAGTGTTAATGATTTTAAGAAAACTTACCAGAGACACTTTTGCTGTAATTCTAATTTATTGAAAAACACAGTGAAGAGATTTTAGACTTCTTCCAACATAACATCCAAACATTCATTTTACAGTGCTTCAAGAGTCACAAAATGAAGCCAGTTTTGAACATTTTAGGATGAATACTGGTGAATATTTAATTCATTTATGCTTCAGTTATTAAGCAATGAATGGTGTGAAAACTTAAACAATACAATATAAAACAACGGTGTCTGTATATGGACAGTATTAATGTGCACACATACCCCATGTTGTTTCTCATCTGAATCACTGTGATGTGAAGTGCGCCTTGATAATTCTAGAATGAATTATAAAAACATATAATGAAAAACAAGAACACTCACTCTTCACAAACAAGGTCCATACATGTAACAGTTCAATATATATATAAAAGTGCAAACTTAGCTTACAAAAGAATTTAATTTGCAAGGTAGAGAATTTAAGACGACTTACTGTTGGTTGGTTCTTGTGTCCTTTTATCCTAATTGAGATAAAGTGTTTGTACAATGTATTTACAACTGTATTTACAGTTGTACTACCTAAGTTTCATTGTTTTTATATGTTAGGGTTGCTATTACATTAAGCAAATTTGTAATTTAGCTATTTAGTATTTTAATGAGCAAGAAAGAAGATCTGCAGGAAGGGTGCTGATTATTGAAAGGCAGTTTGTCTTTTAATGTCTTACTTTCTAAATTGTTTTACCATATTCATTTCATAAGAGTAGTGTGATATTGTTCAAGGGATAATTTACCATGGATAATGTGAAGGTAAAAGTTATGCTCTCTTACCTCATTTCCTTCTGCAAATATTGGTGACTGACTCGTAGACTGGACACCAGGATTTATCCTCACTAAGAAAAACATTCCTCAAGTGTAAACAGGTTTGTATAGAAATTGTGTTCTTAGATAACTTAACTCTACGAGGCACGAATACAACACTACATGTTTGCATCCAAGAATTCAATGCCGTTTCCTTGTAGCATGCTGGAAAACATGCTCTAACTATTAGCCAGGTTTTCATAATGCAAAAGGTTTATGCATTCATATTTAAACATCAAAAATGTTCTAATAATCAAATCTCATCTGACGATTTTCAAAGAGCATTTGTTATTGTTTACCTTGCAAAATTCATACATGATTATTGGTTGTTTTTCTGTGCCTACATCTCTTACTTTTCATGTAGAATATTCAAACTCACTATTCTATATAGTCCCCGAATGCTTCATTTTTGACCAAGTATTAAAACGGGTTAATTTTAAAGAATAGATTAAGGTTGAAATATGACCATATGTGATTCAGAACAGTTTACTGATCACATACTGATGAGGATCTAACATGCCTCTAGATTTCGGTTTCAGTTCAGATTCAGTCTGACATTATTAACGAGCACTGAGCTGATGTAGAGGACTACTCACCTCTTACTGTTATCTTCTCTCTTCTGTCTTTACTGATGACCTGACAATGGTAATTTCCAATATCTGATGGCTTGAAGTTTTTTAGTCGTAAGGACACATTTCCTTCCCTAAGCTTGTGAGTGAACAGACTCGCTCTGTCCTTAAACAAACCCCCTTCTGTCACCTGCTTGTCCTTATACAGGCAAACACGGGCTCTATCATTAGACCAGATGATCTCCATGTCAACCGCGCTGATTTCAGGTGACAGGTAACACGGAATGATCAAATCAGACCCCAAAGAAACCTCTGGTTCTTCTGATGTACTGGGAACAAAAAGCTGAAAGTTCTCTGTGAGGAAAAGAGAAAAAAGATGGACTCACACTTGTACTTACACCCTCAAAAAGTAAAGTTCTGTTGTGGAACAAGAAAGATTTTTTTAACTTACTGTTCAAGACTTCCATCTTGGCATTCCAAATGAGGTGAAAGCAAATGCAAAACTTTAGTTATTTTATAATGTAATAGTAAAAAGTGTTTATTGAGTGATAAATCTTTTATTTATTTGCGGTTCATTTATTAATGAATCACACAGCGTATTCATGTGTGCACATACCCCATGCTGGCTCTTGTTTGGTTCATTGCGATATGAAGCTCGGCTCAAAAAATCTATAAAGCAGAAAAAAACTGAGCACACTTCTCAAATAAGATTCACACATCACACAGATTATGAGAGATGTGTGTAAATACATTTAAAACTCCATGTTCTTATGCATATATAGAGAGAGTAAAGTAATAACCCTAACCTAATGGCAATAGAGATACACAGTAATCTGCTTTTAAAGTAGACATTACTACCCACATATTTTCTATCTATAAAGAAATTATTTGGCATCATACAACGCAATCTTTAAACATATCACAAAATTCTTTTTAAAGATTAATGCACATCCATATGATAAAGTCAATGATTTTAAGGCAACTTACCTTTGCTTTTGGTTCCCTTGCTGTTATCCTAATTGAGATTACAACAAACGCAGTTTCATTTACTTTATTAGGTATTGTACATGTGTATATGTATGAATAGGCTAAGTGCACACATACCCCAGACTGCTTGTTTGGATGGCTTAGATCTGATTTGATGTACTGTGATAATTCTATAACAAAGAGAAAAAAGAACAATAAAAAAAATTTAAGGCAAGATCCACAAATTATATTTTCAAACTTTTATTGTGTTACATTAGTGATTTTTAACATAGGCCTTCAACTATTAATACAAATGATGATTTTAAATGTCAATTTTCTAAATGTGTAATGCAAATATTCATTTATACAGAGGCAATGATTTCCAGAACTTACTGTCATCCGTTTCTCCCTTGTAATCCTAAATGAGATAAACACATCTAAGATATGTCTTCTTTAGCCTGTTTGTCTAAACATAACATTCTCACACACTTGTTTACACTCAGTGCGAACAGTAATAGATACTACAGCATGCAGTAGAAAATAAAGAGAAGTCGAAACATGATCAACAAAAAAACAAAAAAAAAATTTAAGGCAAGATCCACAAATTATATTTTCAAACTTTTATTGTGTTACATTAGTGATTTTTAACATAGGCCTTCAACTACAAATGATGATTTTAAATGTCAATTTTCTAAATGTGTAATGCAAATAGTCATTTATACAGAGGCGATGATTTCCAGAACTTACTGTCATCCGTTTCTCCCTTGTAATCCTAAATGAGATAAACACATCTAAGATATGTCTTCTTTAGCCTGTTTGTCTAAACATAACATTCTCACACACTTGTTTACACTCAGTGCGAACAGTAATAGATACTACAGCATGCAGTAGAAAATAAAGAGAAGTCGAAACATGATCTGAAAATAGTCTTTGCCAAAAAGTCCACAAATAAATAAATAAAACGAAAGTACACGTCTTAAAGGGATAGTTCACCCAATAATGAAAATTTGATGTTTATCTTCTTTATTGGTTTACACACCTCACTCACCGGATGCTGTGCACGCGCTCAAGGCAGTTGGACATAGTGGCGGATTAGAGGTAAAAAAATTATAGAAATACTGTTCGGTTTCTCGCACAAACCGATCGTTTCGTGTCTTAGGACATCAATGTGTCGTCACGAGCCGCAGGGTTTAATTTGGATTTGTCTGTGCATGTTTTTTTTACTCTCATAGATTTTGTTACTATTGCCATGCATTATATGACTGACAGAATGCAACGGTTGGAGTTAAAAATCTTTGTTTGTGTTCTACTGAAGAAACAAAGTCACCTACATCTTGGATGCCCTGGAGCTAAGCAGATAAACATCACATTTTCATTTTTGGGTGAACTATCCCTTTAAGGATAATATCAATGTGGTCAACCATAAGCTAGTTGTCTATTACTATTTAAACGGCAGCTCCACCTGTTGGACAGACTACACCTCTTCTTTCTCTCCTAATGCCGGTTTAACATACTTAAGGTATTACATACCTAATCTTCAAGCAAAGATGAATGCAAAATCATACTGAATAACAATCCACAAATCTGACTTCTGATGAAGCCTAATATATCACACCATATTTGTTCGCTTTGGCCAGAGGAGAACTTTATAACTGTCAAATGTTGAACACTGTTATTGAACTGAATTGAATCAACATTGAACTGAATCAAGCTGAATAATGATTATTTTCATTTGAGTCATTTGCTGAATTGCACTAGAATTGAACTTATTCTTATTAAATTGAACTTATTGTTATTAAACTAAACGTAATCAACACTGTGCTGGCTGGAGCTGAATAATGGCATTATTGTCTTGTTAGTGCTGCTTTACAGCAGAATTTAAATTCGTCTCATATTTGTCTTAACTTAGGACATCAATGTGTCGTCACGAGCCGCAGGGTTTAATTTGGATTTGTCTGTGCATGTTTTTTTTACTCTCATAGATTTTGTTACTATTGCCATGCATTATATGACTGACAGAATGCAACGGTTGGAGTTAAAAATCTTTGTTTGTGTTCTACTGAAGAAACAAAGTCACCTACATCTTGGATGCCCTGGAGCTAAGCAGATAAACATCACATTTTCATTTTTGGGTGAACTATCCCTTTAAGGATAATATCAATGTGGTCAACCATAAGCTAGTTGTCTATTACTATTTAAACGGCAGCTCCACCTGTTGGACAGACTACACCTCTTCTTTCTCTCCTAATGCCGGTTTAACATACTTAAGGTATTACATACCTAATCTTCAAGCAAAGATGAATGCAAAATCATACTGAATAACAATCCACAAATCTGACTTCTGATGAAGCCTAATATATCACACCATATTTGTTCGCTTTGGCCAGAGGAGAACTTTATAACTGTCAAATGTTGAACACTGTTATTGAACTGAATTGAATCAACATTGAACTGAATCAAGCTGAATAATGATTATTTTCATTTGAGTCATTTGCTGAATTGCACTAGAATTGAACTTATTCTTATTAAATTGAACTTATTGTTATTAAACTAAACGTAATCAACACTGTGCTGGCTGGAGCTGAATAATGGCATTATTGTCTTGTTAGTGCTGCTTTACAGCAGAATTTAAATTCGTCTCATATTTGTCTTAAAGTTGGCATCACTGATTCCATTTAATGATGTGAGGCTGCTTTGAAACAGTCTCTGTTGTATAAAGTGCTATAAATAAAGGTGACTTGACATTCACACATACCTTATGCTGATCCTTCCCTGAAGCACTGTGATATGCAGAGTGGATTGATAATTCTTTAATGCAGAAAAAAATTTACCTTAACAAATAAGATCCACACCTCGCATAGATTATGGCAGGTGTATGACATAGCATAAAGTAGATTATGACAGAAATAGCAACAAGTTTTCTCTGTGCCTAAAAAATTGTCATACTGCAAAACCACAACAGAATGGCTTATTATACGTCTTTGCTCTTGAGCAATGAAGCATAAATGTTGGTGTTTAGAAAAATATTTCTCAGTAGTAACTTAATTCTAAAACAACTTACGGTATATTGCCTCTTTAATCTTGTAATCCTAATTGAGATGGGAAAAAATGTGAAAGGATGTCATGACATAACACTGACACACAACATAGATTGACTTTATTGTGATTCTAAAGTGGTCAAAGGTAACTAAATTATTAGTTATTTTTGTGAAAAAACATTTTGATGAAAAAGCCGGGAATATTTTGCAATACTGTAAAATTGTGTTCCATTATATTTGTTTAGCATTGTAATCTAAAATTCAAGAAAATTAAACAATATGCCTCAAGTTGATGCAAACGGATTGACATTACAAGTGTCAATCTAGTGATGACCTTTATTTAGACTGTAAAATAGATATTTGAAACCATAATGTGTTAATAATATTACTGTGCACACAAACCCCAAGCTGATTGTCTGAATCACCTTGATGCTCTGACAACACTAGAAAGCAGAAAAAATTATATCTTATATCTTAATAAAATCTGATTCAGACATTCACACACACATATACTGTGTATATGAACTCACATAATGTTTTTTGAAAGAAGTCTTCAAAAATACAGTAAGTAACAAATACAGTAAAAACAGTAATGTTACAAAATATTATTACAATTTAAAATACATTTTCTACTTTATTCTATTAATCTATTTTACTTTTTTCAAATTCTATTTTAAAATGTAATTCATTCCTGTGATTGCAAAGATGATTTTTTTAGCAGCCATTACTCCAGCCTTCAGTGTCACATGATCCTTCAGAAATCATTCTAATATGCTGTTCTTGTGCTCAAGAAACATTTCTTCTTATCAATATTTAAAAAAAATAATAATAATTATATTATATTCTTTGATGAATAGAAAGTTCAAAAGAACAACATTTATTTGGAATACAACTCTTTCATAACATAAATATCTTTACTGTCACTTTTGATCAATTTAACGCATCCTTTCTGAAGAAAAGTACAGTAAAAATCTCACTGACACTTCTGTCTCACTTCTGTTTGTGTTTATTTTATGAGAATGACAAAGAGTTTTAAGACAACTTACTGTTGCTTGTTTCTTCCATTTGGTAATTCTAATTGGGAAAAATAATTAATTTAAGTTTGTCTGGACAAACATAATATAACACAAGGATTTATTTACAGTGATTCCTCACAATGAAAGAGTCACAACACAAAACCTACAAAATTTCTTGCTACATTGACATTTACGTATTTAGCAGACAATGTTACGGTGACCGAGAAGTGCAAAACAAATGATAATTCTGAAAACAAAATAACAAATTACAAACACAAATGCAAGTCTAAAAAACTAAATAACAATTCAGAAAACACAACAACAATTCAGAAAACATTATAACAAGTCAGAAAACACAACGACAAATCAGACAAACCGGAAGAGGTAGGTATAGTTTGAGACAGCGCCGAGGGAGAGAGAAAAAAAGTTTGGCAAAAGGCGGTATCGAACCCTGGTCGATCGCGTCAAAAATTCAATGACACGTACTTATCCATCTGCGCCACTGGAGCTGATGTTTTACAGCCACTTTTAACTAAATGTAAATATGCACTCCGTACTTTTAATTCCATAGTAAGCGCAATTCATACCATACATTTAAACTGAGCTACTTTAATAACATCTCCAAACTTTCTACCACGACTCTGCTGTTCTTCAGCTGGTTCTTCCCTGTATACGTTGATTGACAGATGTCTCGTCCAGTCAGCGGTGAGTAATCCCAAACCAATGGCGCTGTCTCAAACTATACCTACCTCTTTTCCGGTTTGTCTGATTTGTCGTTGTGTTTTCTGACTTGTTATTTTGTTTTCGAATTTGTCATTGTGTTTTCTGACTTGTTATAATGCTTTCTGAATTGTTGTTGTGCTTTCTGAATTGTTATTTTGTTGTTTAGACTTGCATTTGCGTTTGTAATTTGTTATTTTGTTTTCAGAATTGTGATTTGTTTTGCACTTCTCTGTCACCGTACAATGTTCCTGTTGCAAGCCCAATTTTATAAAGAAAATGCTATTTCCACAACAATGGTCGATGTTTATGGGGTAAATTGACACTTTTTGATAGTTTTCCAAATATCTAGGTTATTTTATACGTATGCCTTATTTTTGTGTCATTAAATAAGTACGTTTGTTAATATTTTTCATTTATGACTTCTGAAACACCAACACCACAATCCAACAGTACATACATAAACAATTTTGATTAAGATCAGTTTTGCCAGTTTAGTCTTAGTTCCTCTGTGTCTTCAACCACATCATCTCAGTAAGCTTTTCATACCCACAGTTCCCAGAAAGCCTTGTTTTACATTTGCTAATTTTTCTTATGTTGAATTAATGTTGCTGGTATCCTGTTGTGGCTACTTGCAACTGTACTGTATTGTCTTCACCTAGGTCTTAATTAATGATTAATGTACACAGGTGTATGCCTCCTTTGGCAGGTTTTGTACTTGTAATTTGATTGAGCCTTATTTCCTGTTTCAAGACCAGTGGTACTAGTTTCATGTCCTATGAATCTAGCTTGTCGTTCTTTATTATTTAACTACATTTTGTATGTGCATGCCTCTATATTGACTTGTATATTGTATTATTCTGTGCAATTTGTAGTATGTTATTCTCAAAAAGAATGATAGGTGCTATCTTACCGCTGTAAAGAAGTGCTGGTCTTCGAAAATAGCAGAAACTGTATATGTCAACAAAGAAAAGTGTTAATTGGACTTAAGGCATGTTTACATTCAACCTAGTCTTACAACTGAGTGTACATCATGCTGGTGCAACCGGCCCATCCTGAGTGCAGTTATGAATTGCTTACCTTCTTCTGCTACATTTACTGTTATCTGCTGTGTTTCATTTCTACTGGTGACCCGGCACATGTAAACTCCCAGATCTGACTCTCTGAAGTCTGCCACTCTTAAGGACACATTCCCTTTCTTCAGGTCATTAATGAACAGACTCGCTCTGCCCTCATAGTCAACACCCTGTGTCATCTCTCTGTTCTTATAGGTGCAAATACAAGACATCTCGCCAAACCAAGTAATCTCCATGTCAACAGCACTGAGTGCAGGAGACAAGTGACATGACACAGTGAGAGTAGATCCCGAATTCATCTTAACTCTTTCGCCTCTTTCAGGAATAACAAGCTGAAAGTCATCTGTGAGGGGAAAAGAGACACGGAGAGATTGAAATAGCACCTGTACTGTGATTTTGTTTAAAAGGCGTATTCCTACAATTCAGTCTTTTAAGGACTTTTAATTATTTGTTGAGTTTTGTTGTTGAACTCTGGTTCCTCCATTTATAAAGGTATACAGTGGCCATCTCGTAAGTATAACAATGTTACTGCTAAAGTAGCAAACATTTCAAAATGTCAAATTCATGTAGTCAGACAACACATAAGGAGCTTACACATTAAACGCTAAAAAGCCTAGTAATATAAAATACAGAAATATACGAATATTCAGACACCAAAATATACTGAACTGCAGGAACAACCTACTGTAACTGTATGCAATACAACAACAACATAAAATATTTAAAGTTTTTTAAACAGCTAAACCAAATAATGAAAATAGTATTTGAAGAAAACTTACTGCCACTTCTCGCTGCCATGCTTCTTCTCTCAAACAGGAACAAAACACAATCAGTGAGAGAGAAGAATGATTTCAGTCTCACACAAACCGCTGGCTTAACTACACTGAAAAAAACAAGCCAACACATTTATGATTGGAGTTATCATACTGTACCTTTTTTCCACTACTCTATACACAGGACAAAGGAAGGAATATTAAAAAACACTTTTCTGATATCCCAAAATCTAATTGTTTGCAATAACACTAAACACTTTGAATTTCAGTCTCTCTAGTGAGATATGGGTGAAAACATGAAAACATTTCAGTCTTTATCTCTCTTCATATGAAAACATGTATGGAAATGAAAAAGTGATTTCCAAGTGGTTCTCAAAACAGTGTTATGTGTTATTTATGTTTACTTTAGATATGAGCTGTGTCGTTAGACCAGTGTTTCTCAACCCTGGTCCTGGGCGCCCCCCAGCACTGCACATTTTGTGTGTCTCCCTAATCAAACACACCTGATTCGACTCATTAGCTCATTAAAAGAAACTCCAGGACCTGAAATGGGTGTGTCAGAAAAGAGAGACATACAAAATGTGCAGTGTTGGGGGGGCGCTCAGGACCAGGGTTGAGAAACACTGCGTTAGACTATACGATACTGAATTTAATGAGGAACCTATGTTTTAACCATTGACGAAGGCCGTTCTGTTGGTATGCAGGTGTAGGCTTACATACAGCCCTGCACGGTGTCTTCCTGGATGTGGGGCCCTTGGACAAGAGCAGAACTGATAAACTGTATGGTTAATTCAGGCCTGATGACAGCTCCAGCTGCTGTGACCTTATGGAATAGCGAAGTTTCTAAATTGTAGATTGCATAATTTAGAATCTTAGGGGAAGCAGTATGTCATTTGGGTATTGTTTGCTAACTGTAAAATGAATACTGACTATGAAGACAGTTTAGGCTACTCATTTGACGTACAGCTTTATGTATAATATATAGGGAAGTAAGAATATTTGGACAATCTCAGAAAACATGTAATACAAAAATTCATTTTATAAAAAAGAATGTAGTTAACATTCCCTTTAGTCTTTCAACATGCAAATACAGATGGATGCTCAGATGTTTACATTACATAGAGAATTATAGGCCTATGTATAATTGTTTATACACTGTACCTGTTGGTTCTTATACACACCTGCTGCATATTGCACATTTTGTGTGTCTCCCTAATCAAACACACCTGATTCGACTCATTAGCTCATTAAAAGAAACTCCAGGACCTGAAATGGGTGTGTCAGAAAAGAGAGACATACAAAATGTGCAGTGTTGGGGGGGCGCTCAGGACCAGGGTTGAGAAACACTGCGTTAGACTATACGATACTGAATTTAATGAGGAACCTATGTTTTAACCATTGACGAAGGCCGTTCTGTTGGTATGCAGGTGTAGGCTTACATACAGCCCTGCACGGTGTCTTCCTGGATGTGGGGCCCTTGGACAAGAGCAGAACTGATAAACTGTATGGTTAATTCAGGCCTGATGACAGCTCCAGCTGCTGTGACCTTATGGAATAGCGAAGTTTCTAAATTGTAGATTGCATAATTTAGAATCTTAGGGGAAGCAGTATGTCATTTGGGTATTGTTTGCTAACTGTAAAATGAATACTGACTATGAAGACAGTTTAGGCTACTCATTTGACGTACAGCTTTATGTATAATATATAGGGAAGTAAGAATATTTGGACAATCTCAGAAAACATGTAATACAAAAATTCATTTTATAAAAAAGAATGTAGTTAACATTCCCTTTAGTCTTTCAACATGCAAATACAGATGGATGCTCAGATGTTTACATTACATAGAGAATTATAGGCCTATGTATAATTGTTTATACACTGTACCTGTTGGTTCTTATACACACCTGCTGCATATGTTCATGTGATCAGTTCATATATGCTTTACTGGATTTTGTGATCAGAATTCATTAAATATCAGAAACACAGAGGCTTTATTCAAGGATGTTTTGAAATAAGCTTTGCATACAGTAAGTAGTATTGAGTGGTAGGTTCGTGAACTGCAATAATTGATTTGCATTTTTATCATTTAGTCATTCGTGCTTGTGGTGACAATGTGGGGTAACCGAGTAGATTCAAAAAGCGAGAAATTTGCTTGTTACTTTAAGATCATCAGACACCTTTATGGAACATTTTCCTCAGATCTGAATTTATTCTGTACTACCGAATGTGTTTTTTGCAGTGTGTGATGCGATCCACATATTTCACTTAACAACTGAGAGGCAGTTTAAGCTAGAAAATCTTATTGGACATCCGTGAAGAACAATACAGGTTAGAAACACAATATCCACTGTTCTACTGCTAAACTCATCTATATAGACTGTTTCTCTGTGTGTCTGACAACAGAATCTTGCTGTGGAAATAAGGTCAGTGTGTTGGCAGTGACGTGAGTGATTCTGTGTAGTCAGATTCTCAATTAATGTTTTTCTGCCCTTTTAGGAGAGGAAAATGGCAAAAGCAAACAAAAGTAAGTTCTAAAATAATTCTGTGGTATATTTGTTTTTTTTTTACAAACAATGAAACAAAAGACTTGAACTAGTTTAGGAGAGAAATTGACAAATGTATTTTGTTTGCAAGAGCTACATTTAAAAAAAAAAAACATCTTGTAAATCTACTGTATCAAACATTTTTATTTCCAGTATAACAGCTAGATGCCACTCACTAAATTAAAAATGCAACATGAGGAACTCAAAGTATACCAGTTTTAAATGTCTATGGTTGAATGCTGTTTCACATAGGCCTACTAGTTATATAAAGTGTATACTGTGCAGTTTCAGTATCTCATATCAAACATATCCAAACATTATGCATTTTAAACATGGCAGGTTTGAAATATTATGACTGCATACTTGTCCCTCTTTTCCCTGACAGATGATTTTAAACTTTCAACTGACTAAACTAGAGCTGAATGGGGCTCTGACATCACTGTGCCATGCCACCTGTCACCTGAAATCAGTGCTGTTGACATGGAGATCAAGTGGCTTAAACAGACAGACTGTGTGTGTCTCTATAAGAACAGACAGATGTTTGAGGGGAGGGGCTACAAGGGCAGACTGAGTTTGTTCACTGAGGAACTGGACGGAGGAAATGTGTCCTTACAACTGCGAGACTTCAGACGGTCAGATGTAGGAGTTTATCTGTGTCAGGTCACCAGTACGGACAGAACAGAGGAGATAACAATAAGAGTAGTATGTGAGTATTTTATCATTTCATTCTGTACTGTATTATCTCAGCACACTCCTTTTTTAACAATCTGTGAAAACATCTCAATTCATAACTAAAATTATTAAATGTTTTGGACATTTTTCATTGTCATGTTAACTAATTTAGTTTAACTAATATTAATAAATGGAAGCTTGTTGTAAAGTGTTACAGGGTGGCTTTTGGAACAGAGACACACTAAAAGGAGCACTAGTTGGAGCAGGAGCAGCAGGAGCAGCAGGAGCAACAGGTGCAGAAGTGGCAGGAGCAGCAGCAGTAATAGGAGCAGCAGGAGCAACAGGAGCAGAAGTAGCAGGAGCAGCAGCAGTAATAGGAGCAGCAGTAGCAGGAGCAGCAGCAGTAATAGTAGCAGCAGGAGCAGCAGGAGTAACAGTAGCAGGAGCAGCAGGAGCAGCAGCAGTAATAGGAGCAGCAGCAGTAAT